AGCGTGCAAGACGTTTGTTGAAGCCACCGTTGTGTGAAAGTTCATGTGCGATGCCTAATCCTGCCCGTGGCCCAGGCCGTGCAGTGTGACATGTCGACAATTTCCGGAGCTTCATCAAGCGATGCTTTGTGACAGATAGCACAGTAACGCCTAGTTCATCTTATGGCGTTGCCGCCCAGTGATTTTCTACAATATCCGACACTAGGCCGGATCATCCAGGCCCTAATCGAAAGGCGTAGTAACGTATGAAAGACCGTCATGCAAGTCTTCACCAGCATACAGGATCTCCTGCATCTGGAATTCCCCTAAGTTAGTTGCGGAAAATTCACCATGTTTCGACAGACCAGTTCGAGCTTCTCAAAAGAATAGATAAAGAGTTAGAAAACATTGACATTGGCCACATAGAAGCAGAAATAGAGGAAGCTGACGTTTATGTGCGTAAGATTATTGTAGCAAAAATCAAAGTTGAATATAACATTGAAGATGCCCTAAAAGGCTCGGCAGGCTCTGTTGGTGAGTATAAAGCAAAGAATCATAATAAAAGGGCAAGCGAAAGTGCTCCCTTCACCTCTGGCTTTATTAAATGCGATATTGTCACAGAGAAGGTTAACGGTTCATCCCCACGGCAGATAGAATAATGTGTTGGATGCAAACTACCGTTCCCACTACAGAGAATACAACACCAAAGACCACCAACGAAGAACAATCGAAACTTCTAGAGACATAGTCGATGCCTTCAGAGCCCTTGTCACATATGAAAACCGTCACGTCAACAAGAGAGTGGCAACTAGGGTGTGTGGGCGAAGAGAGTAGCACAATTGAATGTCGGGTGCCATAGGAATTTCAGAATACCTTGCAAGAAATATTAAGGAACAATACTCATCAAGGCTGACAATGTCCATTGTCATCGAGGCAATCCTTAATTCCCTGTCTACAGGCTAGCAGAGGAATTAAATCACAGACACAGCAACAAGCACGAAGAAATAGGAAAAAAATGAAAGGAGTGTTACGGCACAGAAGCCTACTGCCTGTAATCCTCATAAATGCAGCTCTTCGAAAAAACTGCAGACACCATAGAAGAGAAGAGAGCTGATCTTGCGGGCTGCATCACTGCCGATGTTAAATGCCAAGACAGTATCACAGCAGCAAATGATGAAACCAAAGCCGAAGGGGAGCAACAAGGCAGGTCCTCACAAGGTTAATGCAGTCAAGGAGAGAAAGCCAAGGAAATTGTTTCTCAGGAAAGGATGCTTAAGGTCCTTTTGTAACAGCCTTCATTCCAAATCTTCATCTCTCTTCAGAGACAGCGCAAACTCAACAAGGTCAACATGCTCTAAGGCACGAGCCTGGAACAAGCGCCGAAAGCATCGATGGAAAATAAAGTTGATGGAGATGCCCGGATGAACCCAAAAGCAGTAACTTGGTACTTGAAAAGACATTTGTAACCTCTGTGGGTTAGTGTTTCTCTGAGTCACACGCCACTGTGGGGGCGCGGAGGATGTTGTCATATTTGTAGAAAGATGATACAACCTGCTCATAAACTTTAGGGAAAGCTGTGAATTTGTTGGGGCCAAGGATTTTGGTGTGTGGCGGTGACGTAAAGATAAAGAAGGTAGTAGCGTAGAGGCTGGAGGAGTGGACTGCTTGGGTATGTTCGAATAAAAAAAGAGGTGGGGGGAGACGGCGGCTCGTCATGGGGACGGCGGCTCGTCCCTTTTCTTAACAAGGGCCGCAGCTCCGGCATCGATGCAGTGGTGCACTCGGGATTGTGGTCGTGTACGCAGACGCTTAGGTTGGGAGAAGTCGAAGACAGCAGAGTAGTGCACAAGAAGCTCTGGGAAGATGCGTTGGTCAGACTAGAGCAGTGATTTGCTAATCATGCCCTTGAGCTTTGACGTGTGGTAAAACGTAGACGGAGTCTTCTTTGCCGTGACAGCAGCTACACGAATACGCACAAACGTATGTCCTTCAAAATGCGCTAGCTTAAACCCAGCAGGTAAGCAAACAGACTCGGATGACACTTTCACCGTCTATACGTGAGTAGAGCCGCCGATGAGGTTCGTAAGTGAACGAGGCACAATAACCTCTTTTTGAACGTGTTTGAGTAGCCTGGTTCAATCAATCCACAAGACAGACCTTGAACAGATGCTCCTGTTTCAAGAGGCAAACGCACATCATCCGATGCGGAAAATACCTCAACTCGAGAGAATGGCACATCGTCGAAAGCATGTGGTAGTCAATCCGCTCTAATAGAAATTTCACCAGCTCCACAGTCTCGTGTAGCTTTGCAGGGTGGCAAGAAATCGCTACCAAGAATTACGTCATGAGTAGCACTTGCTAGTAGGTAAATTTAGTTCGAAACGACTGTTTACCCATGGTACCCAAAAGCGAACACACTCCGACAGATCAGAACAGCTCGGCCCTAGCTCTCCGAAACGCAGACTACCTGTTTCAAGCAAACATCACTTTTTTGTCCTATGCGATCTTGAAAGAAAGAAACATCACAGACACACAATCACCAGTATCTACCAAGGCTACAGTAGAAGCCATCAACACACACACACACACACACACACACACACACACACACACACACACACACACACACACACACACACACACACACACACACACACACACACACACACTTTGTTCTTTGACGTTATGACAGGCGGAGGGATCGGTGAAGATGACCGTCCTACGACCTCAGCTCGATGTTTCGCACCAGCTAGTTTCCCAGCTGCAGCGGTATAGGCGGACGGCGACGTAACGATGGTGATAGAAGCGTCCGCTAAGGTGGAGGAGTCAGGCTGCGGTCAAGCACCGGAAATTTACTCCTGGGCATGTAATCTCGAGGTGGCATGTGAAAAACGGCAGGTGGAGCAGACGATCGCCAGGCTGCAGCGCCTTGCATGCAAGGCGGATAGGCACAATCTCTTGCATTGTGTTCCGGATGACGCCTTCAGTACCTCGAGATGTGTCCAGGAATCCCGCTGTATAAGCAGACAGGTGAGTTGCGGTAGTTTTGGTTGTGGTAGAATACAGGCCTTTGGGGCATTGCGAAATCAGGAGGCACTCACCGAGGCGGCACGTTCTGGAGACATGTGAAACCTGTCGCTCGAGGCTGTGTCATGGTGCCCTGCGTGATCACGTCATCACCGAGAGAGTGGTTCATGTATGCAGATCGCAAACAGGCGAGCGGTACTTCCGAATAGCGCTCATCTGGTGCACAGTGGTGACACTCGCGTTTGGCATCGGCACCACGGAAGTTAGCTCGTCCGTGCCTGACAACGCGCCGTACCATTGTGGCAAAGTCTTCAGGGGGAGAGACGTCCACGTTTTTTGTGGTTGTGACGTTGTCTAGTCGGCCGAATTTCGGAAGTATCCGCCGTGTTCTGAGCGCTTCAAAACGCATGACAGTGACGCCTCGAATCCGACGGCTTCTTGATGTCTTTCTTGGAGAAAAGAGAATTATACACATCTTCAGCTATTCCCTTGAGCAAATGGCTTGTCTTATCCTTGTCTGTCATGCTTGGATTCACTATTCCGCAGAGCTTCAGGATCTCCTCTATGTAGGTCGTGCATGTCTCTCAATGTAAGTGCGCTTGCCGAGAGAGTGCCTGCACGTTTTGCTTCTTTTTCTAAAGCGAGTCCAGCGCAGTTCCAGTGAAGTACATAACAACGTGAGTGAGTTGCGCCGACGCATGTCATTCATTGCGACGGCTCACCCTCTGATGGTGTTTCAGCCAGTCATTAACGTCTTCATCCTCTCTTCCTGGGAATGTGTGGGGCTGCTGACAAGGTGTGCAGCCCGCTTGTCTTAGGTGAGCAGTCTCTTGTGCTGCTCCTTCTAAACCGTCATCACGTCCGTCCGCGTCGTTTATGGCAATGCCTTCCGCTAGGAGACCGGTCAACCGTTTACTGCGCCGAGGGTGCGGTAGAGGTCGGTCGTCCAGGGTGACATACCCAGCACGTGCACTGATACTGTAACGATGCAAAGGGTTTATTCACAAGATGAAAGAGTTAGAAATACGTTGTCTAGCGCACAGTACAGGATGGTGAGCAAGACAACTGCTCGCTCCTCACGCCCTCTTCCTCTTCGTCTTCGTGGCTCCGGCGGATTCCTGCCGCGTTACATTATCTCCACATCCAAGTGAGAGTTCAACGCAGGCCATATGCGTGGCAAGCAGGTGTTTTACAACAAAGCAATGTCGCTATCCTCTACTGTATTGCCTGCTCTTAGACATGTACATCAAGCGTATGTAACAAGGACAACCAGCGTCAACCCTACTATACAGTGTAAAAGGTGAAAACTGCTCAAAATTTGTGAGATGAAGCAACGCACATCACGAGCGCTATCAAGTCTCGTTTAAACTCTTGTTGCACTACTTAGTAGTGCTTGTCTTGTGGGTTTCTTTATCGTGTCGCTTGTTGGGTGCTGTTTTTACTTTTTTACAAAGTGTGACTAGCTAGCCCAAAAAACCACACGACAAGACTGACGCAACTTTAGCATCCTCTAAGTGCTTCGAAGGGTTCTACCGGTGACAACCACTCAGGTACAAACTGCTGAGCTTCCTGCGAACCATTAATTTTCGCCATACACTTTAAAAATATATTCGTGCGTGCCGCATTGGTGTATCGCAATGAAATCCCGCCTTACGAAGCCGTCATAAACATTGAATGCCCTTCGGCATGATCAAGTCAAAAGGCCAGCCGTCTTCATTATCTACTGACAGAAATATCTCACACCACCTGAATTTAGGCGTAAATCCTTGTGAATTGAAAACATAATAAACGCCAGCAAAAACAGGTGTAAGAAAGATGAAACCCCAATGGGCTTGTGATGCCGTCTTTTTTACGTTCGTGTTTGCTGGCGCTAATTATGATTTAGGGTTCCGTTTACTATGAGGCCCTGAAAATGACAATGCTGGAATTCACGTGATGATGTTGTGATGACACAGGCGAAAAAAGGTGGCCTGGTTGAAGGAAGGAAAACGAACCCAATGTCGGTGCCGTTTAGTGCAGCGTCCCACAGTGAGCGGCTGACGTACGAGCGCGTCGCGTAGTAGCCCTCCAGAGCGTTGCCGTCTTCTACAAAGGGAACCTGCATATAGGGATAGCAAAGTCAGAACGGTTAAGAAGCCGTTGTTTGTGCAGTGACATGGTTTCACTTCGCTATACCCCAGAGTTTGCAAATGCGCAATTTTATTTGTTCCCAATTTGACACATTGACTTACTCATGGCCCATCTGAAAGACAACTTATGTGTCAAATCTTTGCTTGATTTTGTCTGTCGCGTGAAACACAGTTCGTGCGAAGGTGGAAGAGAAGACAATAGGTGTGTTCGATTCCTGCTTGATACACGGAACCAGAGCTGCTAAAGTTCAGATGGCACCCATGTGATTCATATGCTAGAAGTGGAGCACGCATGCGGGAACATCTTCTTGTATTTCTGTGCCTACGTTGAATGTGCTGGTGCAGCATTGTCGTCTGCTGTGCGTCCGCAAGGCAAATAAAACGTGCCGAAGGAGATGCGCACAGTTTGTTGGTACTTGCATGTGATCTTCGGTAGCCACAGAGGCGCTTCTCAGCAATGTTTGGAGCCTATCTACCTAAAAATTGAAGACCTGAAGAGACAGCACGTGAAGCAAGTGCATCTACAGGTTTCTGATATAAGCAACGAAAAGTCGGCTTTCAGCATGCTCTTGACAACCAAACAGGACCCTAAGTGCCACGACGCCCCGCCGTGGTGGTCTAGTGGCTAAGCAACTCGGCAGCTGACCCGCCGGTCGCGGCATCGAACCCCGGCTGCGGCGGCTGCGTTGCCAATGGAGACAGAAATGTTGTAGGCCCGTGTGCTCAGATTTGGGTGCAGGTTAAAGAACCCCAGGTGGTCGAAATTTCCGGACCCCTGCCTAATCTTGTCAGTCAAGCAGAATTTACTTTCTTTCGCTTTGATAGAAAAGATCGAAGAAGCGGTGGTGTGCTCATTGTAGTATGTAAAATAATGATTGCTCTACCCAATAATATTTATTCATTTCTTGAATGCGTATTTGTTTCTTTGAGGCTTATTTCTACCGATTTATTATGGGCATTTTTATCGCCCTCTTGACATGAATCCAACGTTCGAAAGTGAATTTATTTCTGTTGTTGTTTAAGTATGCACACGGTTTCCCAATTCGGTTCTTGTAATTTTCGGTGACTTCAGCTATCCCAATATTGAATGGTCACTGCTACCTGTTTCACCCACCGACACCCAGGCACAGGACTAAATTCTTGTCTCGACTTTTTGTTGTGCTAGCTTATCGAAAAGCTGACACGTTACTCGACCACATGCACAAACATTCTTGATTTACTCTCATTCCGATCGTTCACTGATATAGGCCATCTCGATGGTCTTTTTGATCATGAAATAATCACAAGAACCTAATATGTTCACTCAGTGAAAGGAGAGTTACCAACAAGTGTATAAGCTGTTACAACCGTGCCAACTTTGATGAAATTAGTGCCAAATTTTTCAGTTTCGGTGAAGAGTTTGTAGATACCCATTTGTCACGTTCAATTGAATATAACTGAAACCTTTTAAAAATGCTCTTTCTAACCTAATTGATCAGTATATACCAGTCATTACCACAAAAACAAGCAACGTCGCTCTGAGGTTCAATAATCAACTGCGTCGACTTAATAATAAAAAACAGCGACTGTTCAGGGTAGCAGACAAAAACAGATTATCAGATTCGTGGTGTCGCTTTTAAAACATATGACAAGTTATACAAATGCTTTTTAAAGACTACTCGTCATCGTTTCTTTAACCATGATTTGTCATCAGCGCTAAAAAATAACCCTAGGCGCTTTTGGCGCACGATAAATCCTGGTAACCAACCTGATGTAACTCTCGCTAATACCGATGCAACCCCTGTTCTGGATTTCCAATGTGCTCAGTTAACAAATGATACATTCTTATGTTTTTACTCTGGAGGATACTACTTCATGCCCTAACATAGATGTAGTTGCCGGTAATATTATGTCTGAAATCATAATTGACGAAGCTGGTATGATATCTTTACTCGGAAAGTTGAAAACTTCGTCAGCATCCGATCATAATGGCTTCAATAATAAAATACTGAAAAACGTTTCCCCAGGTATCTATCGCTTTTTAGCAGCAATCTTTTCTCTCTCGTTATCATCAGGCACCATTCCTTACGACTGGCGAATAGCAAAAGTAGTGCCGCTATTCAAATCTGGTGATCGCTCATCTCCGCTTAATTACAGACCCATATCTTTTACTAGTACCATAAGTACACTTTTGGAACACATTGTACACTCATAGGTAATCTCCTATTTAGAGGAACAGAATATCATATTTAAATACCAGCATGGTTTTCGCAAGCGCTATTTATGCAAAACTCCACTCGCAGGATTTACTCATGACTTGCTCTCATCATTGGACGCCGGCATTCAAACTTGCGCCATATTCCTTGATTTTTCAAAAGCATTTGATTATGTCCCTCACCATCGGCTCTTACTAAAACTTAGGCAGCCTAATATTCAACCACTTGATCGCGCCTGGCTGCAAGCCTTCCTTTCTAGTAGAAAACAATTCACGTCTCTCAGTAACTTTAACTCTCCTTTTGTTGAAGTCTCATCTGGAGTTTCCCAAGGAAGTAATTGGTGCCTTGCTTTTCCTTGATCATATAATGACTTACCCTCTTCAGTCAATTCTAAAGTTAGGCTATTCGCTGACGATTGTGTCATTTACCGTACCATTTCATCTGAAACTGACCGACAATATCTACAATTTGATATTGTCTCTTTAACTTCGTGGTGCACAGCATGGCAAATGACACTGAATCCTTCAAGGACTAAGCTAATGTGTTTTACTAAAAAAAGCGTCCCGTATTCCAACGGCTTACTTGCTAAGTAATACTTCAGTGGAGCTTACGACCCCTTATAAATACTCTTGGGTTAACATTAAGTGTGACCTGTCATGGCATCACCACATTAACGTCATTCTTGCTTCAGCAAATCGCTCAGTCGGGTTCCTTAAACGTAGCTTGCAACACACCCCCTCACACTTGCGTAAACTGGCTTACATCACCCTAATCCGTCCTAAAATTGAGTATGCGTTGGCCATTTGGGATCCCGATCAAGACTACATTATTAAAAACATCGAAGCCCTGCAGAACCGTGCTGTACGTTTTATTTTTTCTGATTATTCACGTCGCACTAGCGTCACTTCATTGAAACTTCGTGCCGAGCTGGAACTCTTATCACGTCGCCGTAAAATTGCTCGCTTATCACTACTTCCTAAGCTCTACCATCACACATAACTTCATGAGAACTTCTTTAGGCCACCCCCTGCCATCTTTCCGCACCGCGATCATCCCTTTAAAATCGAACGCTTCCGTTGTCGCACATTTCATTATGCTAGATCCTTCATACCGCCCACAATAACCGAGTGGAATGACTTACCATCTATAATGTAAATGCAAGGTCAAAAGCGGTATCAGCGTCTGTACAAACATTGCAACCGTAACTGATATCCCTGTATTTCAGAACCTACTAAACATGATTGCAAACGTTTGAACCTTTTGCGGTATTCACCCACTCTTTCTTCTGTAAACCATGTTTTCTGTATAAACTGCGTATGTTCACGGTTCGTTTTGTTTTTAGCTGTGTTTGCCTAATTCAGTATTTCACACGTGCTATAATAATGTTATCATTCCTTTATGCTTCAATGATACGTGTGCTTGTAGTAAGCTAGATTGCGTTTTATTGTACTCTTGTGACTCTATTTACTTCTTTGTTGAGATCAATGTTGAAATATTCTTGTAGTTTCATTATTGTTTGACGCGTAATATTTATTCTAATTATTTAGTACTATGAGGTAAGAATATTGACCCTATAATTACTCTAATCTATTTAGCAGCTGTATAGTGTTTAGTTTGCGTGTTTTCTTGCCCTATTAATCATTTTATGTACCTGTATGTGTTGTAGCCCCCCCCCCCCTATGTAATACCCTGCTGTGAGAGGGCCCTTAGGGATATTCTGAATAAATAAATAAATAAATAAATAAATAAATAAATAAATGGAACAAGGGTCGCCCTTGCGCTTTAATGCGCGTGCGCCACGTTTACAAGTCTCGTCACCAGTTTGTGCCACGCGGGCCACGGCCACGCGTTCGCATGTTCCCTCTAACAGTGAAGCGTACTGTACATCTCGCTGCAAGTTTTCCTCATTACCCCAAGTGTAAAGAAATGCGCGAAACTTGGCTAGTGAAGCCGAAAACGTAAAAATGCGCCAACTCCTGCGTTCGCAGCAAGCCCTTCTGTGATGAGGATTTTATATGCTGCTCTGCAGCTAAGATGTCCTGTAAGCGCTGATGTTCGCTCACGAGCACTCCCGGAAACTTATTGAGGGTGTTCATAGAAAATTTTATTGATGTGTTTAGTGTTCCTTTTTCGTGGCATGGGCATGGTATGAACAACTGTATTAACGTCTTGAGGACAGGTCTAAGATTGACGCTGGCAGCTTGCTCGTCAGGACAGATAAAGTGATATTGCTTTAGCGCAGCTCAGTATGAGCGTGAATTTGAGTTCAGACCAAAACTAGGTTTCCTTGGTGAGGTGTGCTGCTCCACACTTTTATGGTTTTGTCATGTGTGCGGCATCACGTGGAGTGAGCTATATAATATGTCGTAAGTTCATGGAATAAATAGAAGTTGGAAGTTAGCGATCAGACTCGTCTTTTTTTTTCATTTTCTTGACTGTATAGCATTTTTTTATTCATGATCAAATTAACCTCCGCTAAAGCAATATCATTTTATCATGCACCAACTCACTCTGTCAGCAGTACTTGTCGGGACATGGAGGTCCAGCCCCTCTGCCGCCATGCACGCGAGCTCTATAGACATCCCTGAGTGTATCCGCTGTGCAGCATTCGCTGCCACAGCTATTCACGATGAGAATCACCACCAGCTAATGCCGAGGAGCGCCAGATGACGTGGTCAAAATCTAGCAAGCCCTCACACCAACTTCAAATTGATCAGAATACCGCATTCAGGGTTAATTTCATTCATGTCAGCCGAATTAGGGTACGTTCGCGT